AAAAGCCTACTACTGAATATCTTATTTTGTGTTTTTCACTCACACAGAAAAAGTATATTAAAATCTCATCACTTTCCAAAACAAATTTGCTTCCTTACTGAAAATAATGCAACTACATTTTTGTAGTTTAATCTCATTCTTGAAAACCTATTTTAGATTTTCTCTGCATATATGACTCACTCAATAATATACTTTAACCATAATAATAGTAAATTATCTCTTTATTTTTTATGTGACAATTCAGGAAGACCCTTAGATCCCACATCAAAAAGTCTGCCTCAGTTTCACTTTAAATAGATGAACTCATGAGTCTGTTATGACAGGACATTAAATCTAACCAAATTCTTACCACATTATATTGACTATAGGTAGTCTTATTTGTAGCTACCTCTTATGCAACATTCAAAATCTCTTCTTATTTCATATGAGATGAAGACCTGAGCTTTCTCATTAAAATGTGTAAAATGTTTTGTCTGCTTTAAGATGAAGAATAAATTATTTTCTCTTCTGTCTTTTTTTTGGGGGGTGAGGAAAGGTCATTAATGTATCTTTAGACAATAGTGTCGGTTCTTTTATATAGCCAAAAACCTATCCCCCCACAAAAGAATGAAACTAGTATCCCCAAATAGAAGGTATTTGCTTATGCAATTGACTTCAATCTGTTGGAAAAATGAGTACATCATTTTATAAAAAAGTTAAATCATTGATGTCAGGGCTTACAATAACCAGAATATATAGGATTGTATTACAATATATAGCATTGCAAGTCAGAGTTTACAATAATCAGAATATATAGCATGTATACTTCATGATTCTAAAACTATTTACACAAACGTCTTGAGAGTGAAAGAAAGAAAATGAATTCATCACTGAACTCAGAAAACACACCACCCCCTTTTACCACCTGCAACCCACACCCCACAGCCATACATTATGATTCCATACCAAGCAATTTCTTTTTTTTTTTTGAGACGGAGTTTCGCTCTTGTTACCCAGGCTGGAGTGCAATGGCGCGATCTCGGCTCACCGCAACCTCTGTCTCCTGGGTTCAGGCAATTCTCCTGCCTCAGCCTCCTGAGTAGCTGGGATTACAGGCACGCGCCACCATGCCCAGCTGATTTTTTGTATTTTTAGTAGAGACGGGGTTTCACCATGTTGACCAGGATGGTCTCGATCTCTTGATCTCGTGATCCACCCGCCTCTGCCTCCCAAAGTGCTGGGATTACAGGCGTGAGCCACCGCGCCCCAAGCAATTTCAAGGACACACTCTAGGAAGATATTTATGGGAGGACTTTCCTTTTCTTCTGGATCACTATTTCACCTTTTGCTGTGCCAAGTCAGAATTAGAATGACTGTTATTCTAAGAGGTATATACAAATCAAATTCATCAAGAAACCAAGCATTCACTAAAGGCTGCTATTAATTTGGAGGTCAGCCTTTTTACATATGAGTTACATAACCAAATCTTCATTGAAAAATTACAGTTTGCTTTGCCAATCCTAGTTTTAGAATATGAAAATTAAAATTAAGTTAGAGAACAAAGCATTTAACATTTCACAAGCTCAAAGAGGAGCAATGGTTACTTACTACCATCAAACTTCGAAAAATTATTTCTGGGACTGGAATACGGGCCTCCATTTCTCCATTTTTTTTTTTTTTTTTTACTGTTTCTATTATAACATGAAAGACTGAATAGACTAAATGTTTTTTAAAGTAATTTATTTTACAATATTTTTACATAAGTGGTTCAACTTGAAATGGTACTGGGATCATAATACATTGACAACAAAATTTAATTTTCAGATCTAGATTTAGCGTATCTTTTGAAAATTTGTGTATAATGTAAACTTCTAAGACACTCTTGCCAAAATTAAATTTTTTATCCTGTCATTCAAATTATGCATGAGGTTTACTAAAAGCTCCATCTGAATTATGACAAACTGTTTCCTAAATGTGTATGTGTATACAGACACATATTCATGTGCACATATATCAGAAAAATATTTCTTACATTATTTCCATATCAAGTTCTCCATTCTACTACCACTATCTGTAAGTTTCTGTGATTGAAGTAGTTTATAAAAAGACTTATCTTTCCTGTTAAAGTAAGAAGCATTAAAAATTCAGAGTGTGGTGCTCAAAGTTTAGTTGAAAATAAATGTCATTATTCATATTTTAATTTTATGCATAACCATGGTCTTTCTCTGTTGTTAGCAGAGCTGTGTCTTCTCTTTTAGTGAAAGCAAAACAAACAGCAGATTGGAGATTTATTTATGGTGAGGGTGAATGTTAGTTAACATTCAATCTTTAGTTAGAATAAGTGTGTACATGTATGAGTGTTTTATGTACCTGTATGTTTAATTTCTTCTACCAATATAGTTAACCATGCATTTAAATTGTTTCCAAGTCTTTCCTTCATTAGAGGTTCTTAATGAAAGGTACTAGGTTGAGAATAGTAACATTAGCCAAGGTGATATTTGCTCAACGTTAAGAAGTTATGAATAACAAAAGTCATCATGTCTCTGGGTCGAGTGTGGTGGCTCATCCCTATAATCTCAGCACTTTGGGAGGAAGAGGGGGATGGATCACTTGAGGTCAGAAGTTTGAGAGCAGCCTGGCCAACATGGCAAAACCCCATCTCTACAAAAATACAAAAATTATCCGGGCGTGGCGATGGTCACCTGTAGTGCCAGGTACTCAAGAGGCTGAGGCAGGAAGAATTGCTTGAACCTGGGAAGTGAAGGTTGCAGTGAGCCCAGATCACGTCACTGCACTCCAGTCTGGGTGACAGAGTGAGACTCCTTCTCAGAAAAAAAAAAAAAAAAAAAGTCATCATGTCTTGGAAGCCTGAATTCTATCAGATAAACTAGCTTGAATTTCTTTGGTTGCCATGCTTCATTCATTTCATTCATCCATTCAGCAAGTCTTTATTGTTTAACAAAAGACTGAATCCATGTATTCAATAAATTGACCATAATAACATAAATATTTTTGTGAATATTTTATATTTATTAATTTATTGCTTATCAGTTGACATTAGAGAATAACAAAGACTATTTTAGGATTGATTATGAAAGGTAGCTACATTTTGGGGAAACTCCTATTATCTCATTTTTGTAATTTCAGGGATGTGAATTATTTCCCATGGGTCAGAATCTCTTGCCATATAGCAAACATTGTGCAAAGTCTACAAGGAGATATATAAAAATGTATTATAGTTCTAAATAAATGTGAAAATATAAGACAAACCATTTTAGTAAGGTAAATTTTTGGTATAATATTTCAAAAATATTTTCATATTTTCAATTTCATATATTTCATATATGAATGTGTGTGGCATATTTCACTTATGTGCTTTATGTTTCATATCAAATATTGTAAAAATTTTAAAAGATACACATTGAAAATATGGATATGACAACTTTCAAAGGATTGAAGTCATTGTTTTAATAGATATATATTTATAATTTTATATTTTATATAATAAAGTTTTAAATTAGCATTTACACTTCAGTTCTGTATATATATAAACATAAAATTATATGTATATTATTTGTATATCATGTATACAAAATTATATGTATGTTACATAAATTACATGTAAAATTGTATGTATATCTACATATATATAGATAGGTTGAAAAAAGTGCCAGACCGTAAGTTCTCAATAAAAGTTAGTTAGAATTTTAAAATAATAACAAAAGATGTTAACAGGTACATTTTGTGAAAGAAACTCTTTCAATGTTAAAAAAATATACAAAAATAAAAACATTATTATTGATAAATTTACTGAAATCTTTACTTAATGTAATCTTGTTGTATTGACATATATAATATTTCATTCTATATTTTAGTTATATTTTCTGTACTTCCATAGCACATGACATATTGTGCTATAGAAGTACAGAAAATAGAACTAAAAATTCAGTATGGAATATTGGACATGGTTCAAGAATCCCAGATGTGACAAAAAATCTGCTAAATTCAGGAAAAAAATATAACGTTTAGATGATTTACAACTATATCTCTGAAACAACTGAAAAGAACTTGAGATTTTGTCTACATAGTTCTTATAGAGCATGTCCAAATAACTGTCTTTACTATTTACTATTTGGTAAAGAGCAAGTTTTAATGAATTTAGAAATGCCAGTTGTTTAATGCATAATTTACTTTTATTTTATGTAAGTTTTTGGCTTTGTGTTCGGTGGTTTAATTGACTCAAACATTTTATTAAAAAAATCATAAACTAAGTTATGCATATATAAACATTGTGTCTGTCTTTGAATAAAATTTAGTAAAATCAATGAAGCTGGCTACTACAAATTTCAAGCAGTAAGAAGATGTCTTTTTTATTTTTAACCTAGTAAATAATTCACATTGTAGAAAGGGCAGAGGCAACTTGATTAACCACTCTATGAGGAATAAAACTCCTTTTAAGCAAGACAATCTGAGTCTAATCAGAGTTAGGATTATTTTCTTCATGTTTACTTGCTGCTTAACACTAGAGTGGAGAAGGAGGAGAAAAAGGAAGGAAACAGGAAGCAGTACCACGTGTCCTCAGCCCAATAACTCTTGAGGTATTCAACAGATGTTGGCTATAGTGTTATATTTTGGGTTTTTAAAACTGTTTTTTACTTTCTATCTGATTTCATAAATAATCACATATACGCCCTCAAAAGGTTACCATTGGAAGGTATGTTTTTCAATAACAGAAGAAATGTGGTAATCGAATTTATTAGTCAATGAAACTATTGAAGACTCATAAGTATTTTAAGACTATTTATTAAATAATGTAGGCAACAAAGGGATAAGTTATTAAAGTAGCTTTAAAATATACCCGTGTATGTTTCCTTTTCAGGTATTTATGCAAATTTGCTTTCTAAAACTAATCATTGTGAAGTTTCCCCTAAAGAGCTTAACATTTTGAAGAAATCCATAGAAACAACAAGGCAAAGAAAAAATAATAATAAAGTAGTAAACATAGACAAATTTTTCTGAAAATATATTATCTAAATCTAATAACCATTGTAGTAGTTTGCTTTATGCCATAAAAATATACCATAGACTGGAGGCTCAAACAATATGAATTGATTTTCTCACAGTTCTGAATGCTGGAAGTCCAACATCAAGGTGTAAGCAGGGTTGGTTTCTCCCTACACCTTTCTCCTTGGCTTATTGATTGCCACCTTACTGCTGTATCCTCATGTGGTCTTCCCTCTGTAAGTATGCATCATTGATGGTTTTTTTGTGTGTCCAAATTTCTGCTTCTCTTAAGGGCTCCAGTCTAATTAGATTAGGGTCCACCCTAAGCATCTCAGATTAATGAATCACCTCTTTAATGAACCTATCTACAAATACGATGACACTCTGAGCTACTGAGGGCTAGGGCTTCAACGTATAAATTGGGGGTACAGAGGTGAGGGACATAAGTCAGCCCATGACAATCTTCTCTTATAAAAAGAAAATGTATGTGCTTTTAAAGTAATTGGAAAATTTTGCTCACAACATTTTTAATGATTAATATTATTTTATTTGACGTTAACAGTAACATAATTCAATTACTTACCTGTTACCAAACATATTGAGGGGACAACATTCTTCTAATAATTTAAAATACTCTAATAGTAATAGCAGCAGCAGTAGTACTACTACTACTAATGCTGGTATTTGCAGTACTTTAACAGTAATAAAGACTTTTGTTTACCTTGTACTAGGGACTTGCTTTACAGTCACACAAAATTATCACCCCCACTTTACACACAATGAAGCTATGAACCAGAGACATAAAATAACGTATTAAATGTCCTTAGCTATTGAGTTTTAGAATGGGGATTCCTTTAATTACAAAAAGCAGTAATAGTAAAAGTTGGGTGTTCACTATGAATGGTACATGCATTCTTTTTACAATATTGCTTAAGATTCTGGGCCGAGAAAGTACTTTATTTAATCACTGAATAATTGTTATTGAAAACGTGTTATGTGCCAGACCTTAAGGTATAAGTGCAAAAAAGACAGATTTAACATTATTTTTATAGCTTATTGTTGCTTAAGTATGTCAGTCTTAGCCTTTGCTTTTGATTTCGGTTTTTTTTTTTTTTAACTTTTATTGCTTTGTTTTATTTTAATGTTTTTAAAAATAGAACTAGATAATTTCAAATGAGTTAGCCCAGTAAAAGTGATTTTATGTAGATATAAGAAAATATTTTAGAAATAAATCTTTACCAAAAATAGTTTTAGGATTGAAGAGCTGAAAGAGTCAGAGAAAAACTAAGACAAGGCAGTCTAGAATTCCAACTCCACATCTTTTTAAAATGGTAATTATCATTTTTAACTGTGAAAAAAGGCAAAAAATTACATTAGGTGTATATGATTGAAAAGAAATGCAAAAAGATAAAGGAATCACTAGCATTTTCATTTGAAATAAAAATGGTCACTAAACGTTTGTCCTTATCTCATTTCTTATTTTATTAAATTCATGTGCCCTATTTCCATGACATTCTAGTGAATGAAAAATGATAGAACACAGTTAATGATTTGATTATGCTATAAAATTATATTTCATATGTCAAGATAAATGTTAACAGTGATACAGAATTTATGGATTTGTAGACAGTATTTAATTTTTGAAAAAATATTTTATCTAAATTATAAATCATTTGTTATTGTCAACAGAACTGTGTGGCAGGTTTCATTACACTGTGGTAAAAGATAGTGAATATAAAATCTCTTTCTAGGCTGACTGTCATGCAAAACCCAAAGCATTTTGGAGAGGACCAATTTTAATCTGTCTTTTCACAAAGATTTATGCCATCATCAGTTTTATATAAAGAAAAGCCCTGTGCTCAGAAAAAAGATACCTATAAATAAGATGTACATTAATATAAATGAAGCTCCAATGAGGTCACTGGGGCCAGGGCTTTGTTTACTAATCCATTGTGTATTTGCAGCAAGATAAAAAAACAATAAGATACTAATCTCCTAAACATTAAAAATATTATTTACAAGTTGATTTAACGTAAAATGAATTTATAAAATATTTTCCATATCTATTGATTTAAAATAATTTCTTCTTTTGTTTCAAGAGAAACAACTTACTAGTAAAAAGGTGTCTACTCAACATTAAACATGCCAACAAATATTAACTTTTGAGAGTTTACAACAGCTAGAACATTTTAAGTACAGTTCTATCCTTCTTCAAAGTAAAATGCTAAACTGAAATGTGGCTTTTCACCTGACCACTGTAGTACTGTCAGGATTGTTGTTATATAATTGTTGTGACCCTCTTCTTAGCAAATTAACTCATTATGCAGAGAAAAACAAATCCGAAAAACAAATACACAAAACAAAAACAAAAGCGAATTATCGTTAGCAATCCAAATTGGAAAACCTCTGCTATCAGCTTAAAGAAATAACTAGGTATAACAAGCAGAAACAGATGATTTGATTGATCAGGATTATTCATATTGAAATGAAGTGATTATATAAATATAAGATTTAAATCATACATGCTAAAATCATGTGAAATAAGTGTTCTGGTGAATTATTTGAAAAATGATGACTTTGATACATTGAAAACTGAACCCTAGTGACTTGAAGAAGTTAATGTGTTTTCAAAAAAGAAAAAAATAAAAAATAAAGAGATCAATTTATTCCCAGGGAATAATTTATGCAATGAGAAAGTTGGGCTGAAAAATAAAAATGTGTTAACAAAAGCCAGTCTTTAATGTGTATAAGCATAAAAATACATAGAATGAAAGATAACAGGTTTTAGTTCATTTGTTTTAAAAACATACCATCTTAAGTAGATCTCAGAAAATGGTTGAACAGGGAAATTATAGGTATACATTTAAAAAATAATTTATTTTAAATAATCTTCTGTGTGGCATGAGAAAAAGTAAAACTGGAGGATTCAGGATTTACATTGAATATGTATGTGGCTTAAATTTTCTTCCAATTGACGACTTTGTATTGTGATGAGACTTAGACCTCACTCTTAAGGACAAATACTCCCTGTGCCCCTTGTACAGTAAACTATCATTTTGCTGTGAGTTCCAAATAAATAGACAGCAATAGAAGAAGATATGAACACTTTTCCTGTTACAAATAGTTTACATAGAGATTATTAATATGAGAAACAGTACCCTGTTTTTATTTAAAACGAGGATAAGTACTTACTGTAAATACACAATTTTAAAATGGATTTCGAAAAAAAAAACACAGGAAAAGTACATTTTGCCTAAAATTACAATTCCACATAATTGTCCATTCCCAACATGGATGTTTAATCCAGACTGACACACCCACATACAATGCCTTTCTACACACCCACATACAATGCCTTTCTACAAAAATAAACTATACACATGCAACTGCTGATTCAAGTTCTTCTGAGTGTCCTCATCTATCTTGAGTTGTTTCTGAGTTGGCTTCACTTCTAATCTGCTCATTATCTCTTATTTATGGTTTCACTCCTGCCTATTAATTTTACTTTCTGAATTGTTCCTCCTTCATCAACTCTTGGACCTCTCTCAGGGACCTGCCTAACCCTCCCAACTGACTCTTGCTGTTCTCAGCCCCACGTTCAATGAGGCATAGACTTATGGGGGCGTTCTTCTTAAATATCTGTATAATGTGCCCCCTACTCTTCATCACTACAAACAGTTTCTTAGTTCAGAATTTTATGGTCTTCCACTTCAAATATTATAATACCTTGCTTACCAGTTTTCTTGTCAAAGTCCTCATCAACTTCCAATTGATTCACTACACTTTTCTGGAGTAATCTTTCTAAAACAAAACTTAGATCAATTCTCTGCTTAAAAACATTCGATGCCCCCTGAAGCCTTTTTGGATCTAATGCAGACTTCTTTGCACGATTTACCAGGTCCTTCATGATCCGGCTCCTGCCTTACTGTTTATAGCAGTCTCCTATCAATCTTCAAAAGGAACAAGATATGTCCACCACACTAAGCTGCTCTGTCTTCTTGAAACACAGCATGTTGTTCCATAACTTTGTGCCTTTGTAGCCTTTTTATTTGTTGTTCTTTCTGCTTAAGTACTCTTATTTGTCTGTGCCAAATGTAAATAAAGTTCTGAATATGAAGACCAAGTGTGCACTTCCATAGATAGGGAAAGTGTCATGGATGGGTTTGCATAGGCCTGAGGGGTTTCCCGGGACACAGGATTTTCAGTCTATAAAACTGAGATACTCCTGAGCAAATTAGAATGGCTGTTCACCTTTGTTGAGACTCAAAAGATAGACAGAAGCAAGTCTTCCTCTTGTACGTCCTTCATGTTTCCCTGAATCTCTACCATAGCCCTTATTGCATTCTATTGCAACTATTTTAAATTTATGTCTTATTCCCACACCAGGCTATGAGCATCTTCAGAGACTAGGCCTTACTCAACTTTGTATTTTTAGCAACTACTCTATCATGAGTCCCAGTTTATGTATTTAGTAAATGTATGATAACTGTGAGTGAATAAATTGATGAATAAATGCAGGAATGATGGAATGATATAAAAAAGATTATAAAGGGGAGGTCAAAGAGTATAGACAATTGAACAAAATAAATCCAGGAACTAAGACCTGGCATCCAGGTCTCAGAAGCAAACAAGACAACCATTTGTCAGACTCTAGCACACATGAAATCTCAGCAAAGTTAGTTAAATTCTAATTTTTACATTCTGTGGAAGTCCAAATCTCTCTTTAATACGTTCATTCATTCTGGGGGGTGGAGAAGATTTATGTTCTTATAGTCACATCTGTTGCTGGGTTCCTGTTTCCTCAAGTATCACATGTTAGTACCAGTCAAAAACAGGTGTAAAATTTAGCCCTGCCCACAGGTTCCACAAACAACCCATTCACTCAAAGAGTTCGCAAAGTTGTAGTATTTACTGATAATTTTGATTCTGGTAGAAGAAATGCTTATATTGCAGAAATGAGAAAAGTAGCATCAACCAACAAAATTTCAAACTGAGCATTTGGCATTTGTGTTCCTGCTCTGTAATATCCTCTGGCCACCCACCACGAGAGAATTTCATTTGACCTTTCTCCTGAGAGCCCTGTGATCCCTCAGTAACTTTAAGGTTTCTACCTCTTTCCTTTTTTAATCCACTCTTGTTTTTTTTTTTTTCCACTCTTCTTCCCTCATAGAAATAAACAAATTAGCCCTTTTGTGTCTTACTCAGTAGTGCAGCCCTGATTGTTCCAAACATCCAAGTTCCCTCAGATTCACTCTCTACTCCCAAGAGGCTTACCAAGGTATATTCCCGTAAGAAAGTTTCCATTCTAAAGAGAAGTTACAGCCGGTCTTTATGATGATTACATTTTCACCTAATTACCAAAGGTCAGAAACAGAATAGTCACAATGATGCAATGGTGAAGAATGTCAGAGCACCAAAGAAAACTAGTAATTTTTTTTTTAACCTAATGATAGACAGACCAGGCTGGAACTGGAACCAGATCCTAATCAGCTTAAGGGTACAGGCTATAATTGACTTGTCCATTAATGGGTCATCATCGGCAGTTAGCCCAGCCTCAGACACATAGTAAGTACTCACTAAATGTTTTTTGAATTATGAATAAATGATTTGCAAGTTTAGCCACACAAACATTTGTTCTAATTAGGCCATTAAAATAAGTGGTCAGTTTAAGTAAAAGAACCTGTTAACCCATTTGACTTATTAAACACAACCAGTTATTAGCAATCCTGAGACTTAGCCATGCAAGTTAACAGTTGGTTGAAAAGTCAAAAAATAGAATTTACTGAATCCTTCTTTATTACACTTGAGAAAACATTTTTCTGTGTTGACTAATTACTTCTTACTTTAAAAAATTGCACAGGCAGAAATAAAACTATAAATAAACATTTTTTGTCTAAGTGTACTGCAATAGAAGGCGTGCAATTATTTGAGCTTAAAATTAATATTAAAAGATTAAACACATAAATGTACATATTACTTGGAAATTTATAATTAAAGCAAACAGGTTCGTAAGAGAATGCTTCAATATTGTTAACACCACTTATTCAGAGCTATGTAGAATGGTAAAGGCCTAATTTGTTTCAACAAACAATTCATAAATCCAGAGAGATGTCAACGTTACCAAAGATGTAGGAGTGATTTCTTCCTATGCCAGAGTTAAAATAATATCTTCACTGATAATAATAATGAATTTAATCATTAATGTATGTAGAATACATTTTAAAAAGCAAAAATCTTAACTGCACAATCATAGCTACATAAAAATTATACTTTTGCAGGAATGATTTCAGAGGCTTTGTTTTTAAAACCCTTTTATCATCTTCTAGTTTAAACATACATACGTTAGAAATGCTATATATTTTGTTTACCTTTGGGAGCCTTGGAAACAATGTTTTAGTATTTCAATCCATTTCAGTTATTCTTTCCATGGGTTATTTTTACATTTTTAAAATTCAAAGAAACTATTCTAATGCTTTTTTTATTCTGTTGTTAATAGAGATAATTATAGATTATTACATAATAAGATTTTGCTTCCCAATGTTCAAGAGAACATTTAATGACGATTAGTAAGACTGAGAATTACAGAGAAGCTGGATATTGCTTCAGTTCACTAAACCTGAGAGTTAAATAATCATGAAAACATTTAAAACCTATCAATGAGTTTCCTCGTAAGATACCCTTTCAAGTGTTTGTTGTTTTCTCCTTCCGATTACAGAGTTAAAATGGGAATGCACATACCTTACTTTTCTTATGGACTTCGTTTTCCACTAGCCCCAAGTCTGTCTCAGACATCACAGCTATTTCAGCTAAAACATGAGACTATTCTGCAATGTGTGTAAACTCTGATTG